ATAAAATTCTTTCAAATCTTTATTTGTGAAATTCTGAATCCGTTGTTGTTGCCCTTTATTGTAATGGTGCTACATTTCCTGCTGTTTCCACATGGGGTCAGGAATATTTAATCATACAGATAATGAAGTCATTTTTCAAACATGTTTGTGGAAGTTCAAATTACTGAAGCACTTTCTCTAATTAAGGAAATCCTCATTTATTACTGAATCGACTGGTTTGTAATACAGCAGCTGTCCTTTGGATGGCAGCAGCCTCACACTGTTGGGTTCCACAGCCTCCACACAATCCTGGCATGCCTCGCCTTTGTCCATGAAGGCAGCAGATTAACTAGAAATATTTAGATCCATGCGGTGTCCCAGATTTCTTTGTCTCTCCGCCGCGAAAAACCCACACGTGCGCGCCGAAACACTCGCGGAGACACATGGGGGCAAAAGGAGAACCAAGTAAAAGCTAAAACCTTCCACTCTACAGGCGACGTGTGTCTAATTGGCATCCTCTTATAATTTGTGAATGTGTGTTTGCTGACACTTAAACGTGGATCCCAAAAAGGCCTTGGCATGGCAGCGTGAGCAGAGGATGCTCCAGCCAGGCAGCGCAGGACGAGGCTCGCTGTAATCTGACACACTGTGAAAGATCCCAGAAATCTACATAGCGACTGTGTTCCAGTTGGCTGGGCTGAGCTGTGCCTGAGCCTCGCTGCGCATGGCTCTCATCCCGAAGCTGGCCTCAGAGCTGCTGAGGGAGCTAGAGGGGAGGGGGGCTGGTCAGAGAGTTCACTGTGGCAAGCTGCCATCTCCCCCTCTCCTCAACATACAGCAGCATATACACAAACATGTTTACACACAGAGGTCTCTCCTCCCCTCTCTCTGTGCTGAAAACTGCAGAGGGATCTGCTTCTATTCAGATTCTGTGCTAACAGAGCGAGCTAGTGCTTTCATGTGAAAATGTAGGCCGTAGTTGAAATAAAGGGCTGACTCTTATTGAAGGTAATTGGCATTAAACTCGAGGGCATGACATAATTGATTAATTTATAAGGCTTTATTATGCTTTCCTTACTGTTGCAGTGGTGGATGCTAATATTAGAGGGGGCCAGAGTTTCAAAGACAGATAATTCATGTGAGCCAGCAGTTCCACCGTCACACTGCTCTGACCAGCTTTTTCTGCCCTCCGCTCTGTGTGATGTCATTGAGTCATCTTTTATCCTGCCTTCCTTCTCTCACCCCAACCGGTCGCAGCAGATGGCCGCCCCTCCTTGAGCCTCGTTCTGTCTGGGATTTCTTCCTCTTAAAAGGGAGTTTTTCCTTCCCACTGTCGCCAAAGGGCTTGCTAATAGGGGTTCATATGATTGTTGGGTTTTTCTCTGTATGTATTTATTGTAGGGTCTACCTTACAATATAAAGTGCCTTGAGGTGACTGTTGTTGTGATTTGGTGCTGTATAAATAAAATTATATTGAATTTAATAGAACCAGGTGAGCAGAGGAAGCCCCACCCACTCGGTGTTTATTTCTTTCGTTTAAAAAGTGCAGCCAAGCAGAAGAAGGGTGGTTGACCTTAAAAACGGAGCAGCTAGAACAGTTTATTTCTGACAGTGGGTGGACTCGGAGCCCTCAAATGGTAACCGCTGGTTACTTTGGGTGGATTGAGGGGCTGCTAAGATAAATAAGGAGCATACAGAGTCCAGGAATGAAAATATGAAGTCTAAAAATGAGCATAATTGGTTTCCTTTAAGTATACGGACACTTATAATAGCTACAGCTAAAGCTCATGCTAATGAGGATTCTAAAAACAAATAAGCTGTTTTACCATTAGCTGAACGTTTGTTTAAGAAAGTGTCTTCACACCTAAGTCCGGCTGAAACATTGCTGATTTTAGCAGCTGATGTGTGTGATGACAGTTGCATTTTTGAAATGCATCAGTGGTTCCTCAAAGTTGGCACTATAAGTCTGCTCTGACATAGGTGTGAAAAGTCTCATCTCTCAGATTCATGAGAGGGTTAGTGCAAATGGTTTCAGACAAAACGGGCGAACGTGAAGAAGCGATAAACATCTGCTAAGCCTTCAAGCTTTGACCAGCTGCATTCGCCTCACTGAAATTTCTATTTTTATTTTTTTTGTGTCTTAACCACAGAGTCCACCAGGGAAAGCTAGTTTTCCCATAATACTCTCTTGAGTGCTCTTTGATCTGGGAGTTTACCATCTTGATTATCTCTTATTCATTCTGCAGCACCAGCCAAACTTGCAGCTTGCTGCGTCTTCTCCTCTATTATGGACGGGTTTCTGCTTCATATCGACTGCCTGACCTTCAGGGTCATTTCTAATATCAGGAGGTTCCTTCCTTCATTGCTGATCTTCTTCCAGATGCTGCATCCTCATCGTCAGTTGGCAAAAGACACATCTAGCACCAGGCAGACACATTCCCATTTATATGGTAATATATGACTTCTTTGAGTATAATAGAAACATCCCACTTCACCAGGCATAGCTATTTTGCTTGGATCTAATGCTTTCAAAATCAAGATACCATAGCCTGTCAGTCTATCTGGTACCGTGCAGTTTTGTGGCTAAAGGCCAGAAATTTGAACTACAGTCTCGGTTCACATTCAGGCTACAGATGACTGAACCTTCTTGTAAACAATGCTGGCTCTGTTGAGCTGAATCAGCCAACTTTTCTGTGAATGAGCTGAGGTTATTTCTCTCTTCGCTCTCTTTCGTTTAAACCGTGTACTCGCTCATCCACTTATCCTCACATGTAATTTCTCATTCAATAAAAAATACAGCAACATAACCCATGAAAGTATAAATGTCTCTCCCATAACCGCCCTCAGTTCACATGACTACAGTAGTATAGATGCTTCTGCACATCCTTCAGTGCATTGTATTGTTTTTCAGCAAACATCGTGCTGCATGGGAACAAAAAGACAGGCAAACAGATTATGAAAATGATATGGTGACCGGGTAGTAACCCAACCCTTCCTCAACCACACAGTCCATTATAAATCATCACTCACTGTGGACACTTCACAGCCATGCAATAAAGTAAAAAACAATTTTACTATAATTAGCTCCCCAACTACACCATCAATTTTGAATGAGATGTGCCCAGTTTCTTACACATCATATCCATGTTTAACTGTTTTGCAAGTGCACAGAAGTGTATAAACAACTGTTTGATAAAGAGCCGTAGGTAGATACTTGCCTGCATAAATACTGAAGAACTTCCTTAAGAAATATTTCTGTATTTCCGTCATACATATCAAACAGCTGGTTTTGTTCTATAAAACTGTTTTCCAGCCAACCGACTTACTAGTTTTAAAATATAAAAAAATGAAATTCCTCGGGCCGTTTAAAGTCTTTACATGCAGATGTTTAAGGCTCCTGGGCAAAGCTGTAAGTCTTGTGAATAACAGCAATCTTTGGTAAATATTGTACTGACAGAGTTTTTCATTTAGGCCTTTGATCCAGACTCTGGGCTGCTGATATTGCATGTGTTTGCACATCTCTGTTCCTGCCTATAGTCAACTACAGATCTGTGCTCAAATTAACTAACAAGGTGTAGTCTTCAAACAGATAATGATAACAAAGGAAAATAGTTGCTATTATTATCAGTAGTAGTATTAAAGACCTAATTAAAATTCCAAAACATCAGCACTGGGAGACAGAGTCCCCGAGTAGAGACAGAGAAACAGTTGGAAAGCTCTTTGAGTTCGATACAGATTCCAAAATACAACCCTACACATTTCTAGCTGTTCTTAGGAAATGAGCAAACTGCATTTTACAGTTGGTGTACCTCAGGGATATGTGTAAGAGCCCTTATTATTTAATCTACAGCCTATGCTCATGATCTTCTTCGGTATTGCCACTGGTTCAAAATGCAAGTGTGTGCAGATGACACAGGTGTACTCATGCAAGTGTGCGAACGTTTAACAGCTGTTGCACTGAGACCTGCTGTGGAAAGAAAAACACAATGGTCCATTTATATGACCGCTTTAAGCCTGACGAATCATTGTTCAAGACCACTCTAAAGAATTCCAAGAAACAAAATATAAAGAAACAATGGGTGGCTCAAGACTTTTGCACAGTATTGTAAATAACAGCATGTAAACGTGTGTGGCAGTATGCCCTTGTTGTGACCCTAAGCTGGGCGTATGAGGGTGAAAGTGAGCCTTGGTGCGGCTCCTCTCATGAGGAACACTTTCAGTAATATCAAACCAAAAACAGAATATTTTTGCAGAATTTGATTAAACTCATCTAATTACAGCTCAGGAGATCGAAATTATTGTTTAAATTAGGACTTGTTTTTATTAAGTAATTAATAAAGCCCAACTGGTCGCGGCAGATGGCCGCCCCTCCCTCAGCCAGCTTCTTCCGGTTAAAAGGGAGGTTTTTCCTTCCCACTGTGCCCCAGTGCTTGCTCATACAGGGTCACATGACTGTTGAGTTTTTCTCTGTCTGTGTTATTGTAGGATCTATCTTACAATATAAGGCGCCTTGAGGCGACTGTTGTTGTGATTTGGCGCTGTATAAATAAAATTGAATTGAATTAAAGGCTGGTAAAATAATATTTAGGTCTCATTTCCAATGCTTTACATTTTATTTGTATATAAACTTTCTATAACAACACCTAGTACATAAAAACGTGTCCTTAATTATGTTGTGTAAAACAGAATGTGCTTATTAGTACTCGTTGCATTGTTATTTGCGTTATATTTAATTAATTAAAGCTATAATTTATATTTATAATTTATGGGTAAATAAAAGTGTATTATGTTGAGAAATAGAGTCGAATGTGTTTTTAGCGTTTATATTAAAACGAACTGTTATCATTTATCATGTATCTGCCGGCTCTGCGTAAATATTCCTGCGTTAATATGGAAAAAAGTGGTGATGTTATCGGTGTTCTCACGCAGCTTGGGAAGGGGTGGTTTGCTCGTGAGCTGGCTCAGTGACGTCTGCGTCCCCTCCGCTGCCAGTGGCCCCTTGCCATAAGTATTCATGCCGGGCAAGATGGCGGCGATACGGAATCGGTGTTATTGCCAGTGGGCATAAAAAAGGCATTTTATTTAAAATAGAACAGCGAGTCATATCCAGTTATACACTTGAACGCATCGTGAGTGTATCTGCCACGTAACCAGCGTCGACGTCTTTTTTAATTTTACGCGTTTGAACGTTTTTCTTACAAAATGTTCTCGTTGTAAGTCCCTCGCTAACCGACCAGCTGGCTAACAGAGAGCAGTTACTAGCTAGCTATCCACCACAGCCAAGCCGCCGTGAAGTGTAGGATGGGAGAAAAGCTGGAGCTCAAGCTCAAATCGCCGGTTGGAGCAGAACCCGCTGGGTATCCGTGGCCGTTACCAGTATATGTAAGTGTTAAACTTTAAAACGTAATTTTTGTAGCTTTTAAGCTTTGCCTTTTGTTTTAGTCTTTGTTAGCCGCGTTAGCTGTGCGCTAACTCTAGCTAGCAGAAAGAGCCGTGGCACGCTCGTCCGGAGAATCGGGTCATACTGGTTGGGATGGTGACAGACGTGCTGTATCAGCCTTCTGCCATGGCTGATGGCATACCTGGATTATTTCAATCCGTTCTTTCCTTGTCACACTGTAGACACTTAGATCCTACGGCACATTTGACCGTATCTAGTAAAACTAACAGTGACAGCCACTGATCGGAGGTTGTTTTGAAATTGGACCACCGTTTTGTTAGTCTGTCCCTAACTTATTTTATGGCCGAACATTTTTTCCCTGCTCACATAGACCACACCATATCTCCGATGGTTACACAGTAGGTTTTTGAACTCCTGTCTGTACACATCTGAATAGCAGTGTTGGCATTCCTAGAGTGCCTTCTGTGTGTGTATGTGTGTTATCCTAGCATAGTTTTAGGAGCGAGAGCAGCTGACTTGTGTTTGCTCGGGTTAACTCTGTACGTGAGGTGGACCCACCACCCCCATCCCCATCAGTCAGTCTGCTCTGTGCAGTGATAGCAATCATGCCTGGTAGAGACACGTCTCTCTCTCTTCTCTTAATTTTATTTCCATGTAGCTGTCAGCACGTCAGTGCCTGCAGTTGACTCATTCAGTATAAGCGGAAGGGGAAGCGGTTGTAAGTTCTGTGGTCCTTTTCAGTGATGTGTAGTTAGTTTGAACTATCTTTCTCATTTATAGTAATTGCGGTGAGAAGATAGCGGAGTTTAGGAGAATGCGTGTGTGGGGTCTCTTTGTGGCGCTTTCCCCCACCCCCACGCTGCACTGTGTCTGTCAGTCTGGTTATTTCACTTCCATCATAGTGTGTTTGTCCCATCACCCGTTTCAGTCTCTGTTGAGTCAGAGTTGCTTGTCGATGTAATCAGGCACTCCCTCCCTGCTTTGCCTGACAGAGCTGACCCTCCCTTTTTGCACTATGCCAGACTCTGATAACACGCACAGTTCCTCCCTCTCTTCCTCCCATTTCCTTATGTTATGGTCTGCAAAGATAAACAGGAGGACAAACATGTCAGGAATTTAATACATCATTGGGCTGCGTGAGCTATTTATACTGTCATGTGTTGAATTAGAAACAGCTGATGCATGTGGAGTTGTGTGATATGGAGCCCATTCATGCGGTGCTCTCCTCCTGTTTTCAAAGGGGGAAACACTTCCCCTCTCCTCTCCCTTCCTCTCTTGACCATATGGTCAAGTCTGCAGGGAGGAAGATATGAGCCTGCCCCTGTTCAGCAATGCTGTATTATTAGAATTCACATACCAGTATGTGTTCCCAGTCACGTTTAAAACTCATTGTGTTTTCCCTTTGTTGAACTTTTTGGTGGTAATAGCAGATCCCACTCCATTTACTCTTCACTCCTACATTGCACCACATTAGGATTGCTTATCACACCTACAGAGCATGAGCACATTGCTATCTGTGTATGATAGACACAACATGGCTGCTGTTACAGGCTTTTGATGTGTAAGTTGTGCTTTAGTGAACCAAGCCCATAGAAAAAATCCAAAGAAGATGTTCTCTGATCTCTTTTGTTTAGTCTTTCATCTGCTGTTTGCTCACTAAATCCCCACATCTGTGCATCTGTAAATGCTTCCATATGAAGAGCACCTCTGGTGTGGTGCCGCTCTTTATCCATCTGGTTCTAGGTATTGGTACTAAGCAGCCCCACACAACACTTTTAAGAGATACGCTGGTGTTTTAAGTACCTTTGGTGTATGATCAGTAGGAATGTGTGGAATGTTTAATTCTGTATCACCACTGATATCATTATTAAGAGTTTGGCTGATATCCACAGATGTTATCAAAGATGGACACGCCTGCCTTGTCTAAAGTGTGATGCTAGAGTGCCTTAAGCCTGTGTTCTTTGTAACACCAGGGGGCTAAGTCTGGTTGCAAAAATACCAGAAAAGATTGGAAGAAATGGGTTCCTTCTCCATTGAGAAGCTCGGTACACACTGTGCTGATCAGACTGATGGCTTCAGTGTCTAGTTTCAACTGATTCATTTTGAGCCTAATTTATAAAAATTGATTTAGAGTCAGACAGGGCCATGATAAGCTATGAGCATATCAAGGATCAGTCATATTCACCTCTTGCTCGTCACATCTGGCTTCAAAACACCAAGATGGCGACGGTGAAAAAGCTCAGCTGGAGGCTTCATAACAGGACTTCACAAACCAGTGGATGACATTGAGGTGGCTATTTCCAACTGTTATGCTGTCTATACTCGTGAGGAGTACTGGCACCAGTTTTTATTTTATTTCTAATTCATTGCCCTTTTTGTAGTGGTTTAGACATTTGCCTAATAAGTGAAAGATCACCAGTTTGATTCTCAGAGGAGACACAGATGCCTTTAAAATTGTGCCAGGAAGGGTGTCCGGCGTAAAACAACTGCTAAATCAAACATGTAGAGCTACCTGCTGTGGCAACCCCTTGTGAATAAGGGAGCAGACTAAAGTAGCTTTTATTCATTGGCCCTTTTGTGCTGGGAAAACAAAACAAATGTCATTTAAAAAAATGACCAAGCTGTTTTAAAGCTTTTCAGCTCTTTGTCGCATCATCTGAGTATTTAGCCAGCACAAAATTGATGTGACACAACAGATAAAGATTGGTCATAGAAATTTGTAGCTCTAATCTCTTTTGCTCTTAGGCAGTAAATGCTGATACTGACATCTGACTCATATATCTGTTTGATCTTCTTTGTTACAAAATCAGTGGTGACTGAGCATAATTCTTATGTGCATAAATGGAGGTATAAATAAGCTTGATTAGTCTAGATATAGCTAAAACAAAAAGGCTCTTTCATCTTACTACTTTTTTTGCCATTTGATAAATAAAATGTATTCAAATTTCTATACAAAGCCTGACTTTGGTCATTTGTTCTCATTGGGTGCTGAGGTGTAGATAGTTGAGCAGTGTTTTGGGTAAAACCCCTACACCCACGGTGCGTCTGTGAGGAGAGGTAGCGTGGAGAGGAGGAGTAGTACGTGCGTCACTTGAACCCACAGTGGGGAGGAGAGGAGGGTCCTCTGTTCTTTTTGTCTGAGTCTAGCTTTCAGACGGCGTTTATTTTTAGCAGCAGCTCTGTACTGGTGTTGCTGTGTGCCGTCTTTGTGTGAGCAGGTGACCTCCCCCTGCTGCATCTGATTCGCTCACTTCATACTCTGTATAGCTTCCATATTAAGAGCTACACAGTGCTTTGCTCATGTGTGTTTTAGGAAGATTTGTAGCTCATTATCATTAACAGTTAGCTCCATAATGTAGTTAACTGCCGTGCTCCGCTAACAGATCTCCTGTCTAGCCATGGTTCTTTCAGGGTGTGCGCATGCATGTTTTAGTTTTGGCGGAAGTTTGCGTAGTATTGGCGGGTAGTATTGAGCGGGAAGCTGGAAGCTGTGGGCTGAGAGCCGTTAGCTCATGCTGCTGTGCCAGGCCTCAAACAGCTGACAAATAGCAGGGTCTCCTCTCTCAGGCCCCCTTTCCTTTCGCAGTTCTTTTTTCGCTTCTCGCTTTCACTTTCCCTGCCTTTGTCCTCTTTCACCTTCAGATTTCTTTTTTTTCCCCTTTCTACTTTCTTTCTCTCCAGCAGAGGCTCTCTTTGGCAAAGTAGGAGACGGAAAGTGGGTCAGTGGGTCAGCTCAGGCAACAGGCTTAGGCAGCCTGTGTGCTGGATGCAACTTGAGTCCTGTTACTCACAGAGAGCTGCTCAGGCACTCCTGCTAAAATTAATGAATATAATTTCCCTGCATGTGTAAAATACAATAGATTTTATCTTATTCAAGTTTGCTTCTGACTAACTTAGGGTGATTTTCAGAGACACGGGATGTAGCATGAGCATAGCTTCAGCCTCTCCAGTTTCATTAGGGTTCCCATTAGCATCAGCTATTTTTTTTCAAGTTCCTATATACATTCAAATAGACACATACAATCTGCATTAACATCTCAAACAGATGTTATTGAAATTCATAAAAACTCATCTTAGAACAGTACATTAAGACAGATACATATACTAATTTATTTTAAACACACGTTAACTGGGTAGTAAGATTCAAATACTTTCTTTATAAGGTCTTTTTGTGGTTCTGTGGTGTAATGTTTAGGACATTTGCCTTACATGTGAAATATCCTTAGTTTCAAATCAAACATGCTGTGGAGACAAGAAATAAGAAATAAGAGAGCAATCAATATCTCTTTCTCTTCTTCTTTGTTGTAATTTCTCTTTAATTATATTTATAATGATCAAAACTCCCATTCAGCAGTTTTATACCTTACCTTCACACATATTAGTGTGCATGGTATATTTACTTTCCCTCCACTCGATGTCTTTTTTTTAATAGAAAACGGTTTAATTAAAATTCCTGCTGGATTTGGAAATGCTGTTTTAACAGGCACTGTCGCTCAGCAGGTAATCCGACCTTTCCAGGGTCTGTTACACAATCCGTTGCAGAGCTAATGCAGCAAAATGCAGCACAAGACTCATGAGTCATAAAATATGTTTAGGGGCTATAAATGCATTTGCTGCAGGGTTGCACACAGGATCATGATTTGGTTAAAGGAAACTCTGAACATTAAACATTACACCGTTCTCCAGACTAACATGCATTAATAACCAGAACAGTTCCTCGTGGCTAATTAACATAAGCAGCATGTGCACATGGCTAATCAGCATTTCATTGCATACGCACATCACCAGACATAACATATATTTACACACATGTTGTTTATACTAACACAAAATGCATGCTCGGTACAATACTGGCTCTGCAAGCACTCTGTTAAACTGATTATTTCCCCATAAACATATCAGGAGTTTTTCCCTGCGGTTAGCTACTGTGATGAAGCAATACCCCTGTTTCTCTGCGATGGCATTCACATAATCCTCCTAATCCACATTCAGAATCTCCCAAACAATAAAAAACTGAGTGGTGGTGGTAGTGGCTCAGGAGGTAGGACAGGTCATCTGTCAGCGAGATGGTTCGTGGTTCAATATCTGGCTGCATGTTGAAACATCCTTGTGCAAGATACTGGCGTCGTGTGTTTACCCAGTGCTTCGATCAGTGTGATTAGATGTTGTATGATTGTGTGTGGGAATGGGTGAAGGAGCTTTGTAGTAAAAAGTGCACAGTACAAAAGCACTATATGAGTACCAGTCCATTCACTCTTTTTCCTGTTCAGGTCTGCTTTTCAGCCAGTCAGCAATTTGCCTACATGTAGCACCACCTTTCATCCTATCATGTCTTTCTACTGTGGAACCAGCTAACATTTTGGGTTCAGGAGACAGAGACTCTGTGCTTCTGAAATTAGGCCTGATTTAGGCTACATCATAAAATGTTTAATGTAGCTTAAATCAGGTGACCTTGAACCATCTGAGGAACTTCCTCCTTCTTTTTATGATCACTACGACAATACTCAGTGTAGTAAATGGCTGTAACTCAGGAAGGTAGAGCAGGTCATCTACTGATCGGAAGGTTGGTGGTTTGATCCCTGGCTCCCCCTAAATATCCTTGGGCAAGATATTAACCCCAAGTTCCTCTCTGATGCATGCATCAGGGTATGAATGAGTGAGTGGTAGTAAGCACATAACAGCATAGATGACAGTACTTGTGTGAATGGGTGAATGTGGCATGTTGTATAGAGTAATATTTGAGTATTATTTTAGTATTTGAGTATTCCCGGACAGTAGAAAAGCGCCATATAAGAATCAGTCCATTTAAATATTTGTCTTCTCTTTCCCCTCACACTCCCTCTGGTCGCTGTAGGTGTTTGTCCCTACCTGAGCCTGATTCTGACGGTTTTTTTCTGCTAAAAGGGAGTTCATCCCTCCCATGATTGCCAGTTGATGAGATTGTCTTAGTGTTTTGACCTATGATTTACTGAGCTGTGGTATTTTAAGGTCAGATGTGAAGACAGTTTAGGGTATTTTATTTTCAGCTGTCAGTTTATTATATACACCCCAGTTAAACATCAGTCTTCTAAAACTATCAAGGCTTCAGCAGTGTTGAGGTTTTGTTTAGACTGGTTTTGAGTGGTCGTGTTTGGAGTTTAAGGACATCTAAAAGCTGTAATTTGTGGTGCTGCTGAGTGAAATGTTTTATTCTCGGTGTGGTTTTTGTAATATTTTCTCCCTCCCTTTTAAGGATAAACACCATGATGCTGCTCATGAAATCATCGAGACCATTCGGTAAGCGATGTTTCCGTCCTGCGATACTCATACATGCACATGACTGTCAAAGACCTGATTTAGTAGTGATTTTATGTTTGTTTATTTAATAGGTGGGTGTGTGAGGAAATCCCAGACCTCAAACTGGCAATGGAAAATTACGTACTCATTGACTATGACACCAAGAGGTAAAATAATGTCATCAGTATCTGTAAAATCAAAGTCTGTGAGTCAGACAGAAGGTTCGATTGATGTCTCTGATAATTAGTTTATGAGTCAGATTTAAAGACTTGATTAATTTCACCCAGCCATGATAACAAATTAGGTCATGATAGTTAGAGTTAACCCATGTGAGCTGTATTATTTCACTCAGAAATGTGCTGTTATTACTTAAATTAAATTATAGAGATCATATTTAATATGTGTTGCCTCTCTCTCCCAGCTTTGAGAGCATGCAGAGACTTTGTGACAAGTACAACAGGGCCATTGACAGCATTCATCAGCTGGTGAGTCCATATGTGAAAGTTCCTTGCTGTTTTGTAGGAGAAGGCTACACATTAGTCACAAACCTGGTTCTTTTGAATCTGTGCCCTTTGTGAATCATTTTTCCTAACTGTTTATTCTGGTTTTGAGTATTTATAGTAGGATATCAGAGCCAGTGTTCTCTAAGGTGGTCTATCTTTGTCCTTCAATTATTGGATATTGGTAAGAACTCTTTAGTGCGCTGTCCTATCTACATTCCACTGCAGTAATTAAAGAAATATTCCACTTACACAGGTATTCAGACCTTTTGCTATTGATTTCTGGTGCATGCTACTTTTGTCAGAGATCACTTAGGAACTTCTAAAGATTGTCTGGAGTCTACCTGGCACTAATTAAATCATCTGTCCATACAACAGTACATTTCCCTAACCGCTTATTCCTCGAGAGCTGGAGCCCATTCCAGCTGTTGAAAGGTAGAAGTCAGAGTACATACCCTCACAAGCCCATCTTAAGGCTAACACAGGGCTATTGAAATCAGCTGGTCATAAATATGATATGTGTCTGTGTAAGGTCTTACAGCTGCTGATGAATATTAGAGTAAAAACTAGTAAACTGTAGTCTCTGCTATTTAATTAAGCCCGGGCCTTTCCTGTCTTATCTTTGCCTGCCAACATGCAGACCAGGGTGCCTTTCTGGCAGCCCTCGAAATCATTTTGCTGCCTCTCCAAGTAGTCTCTTCGCCCGTCATACTCCAACACCACTGTCTTGGACTGACATAGGCTATGGTAGCTGTTTTTTGGCAGTTGAAACCACCTGTGAGGAGGAGCTGCTCATTGAGAAGAACAAGGTTTATTCTCAGCACTTGTGGTCAAAGTCAGCTAAGCTGGATCCTGTCCATGAGACTCGTAACCCCTTAGAAAGGCAGCTGAACATATTTTTCAATAATGTATTTTTTATGTCAGTGTCAAAGTGCAGAGAAGCAATTTATCAAATCTATTATTCAATTAAAAAATGGTGGATGTGCATCCTTTGCTTTTCGGTAATTATGGACCCGAACTACATAAAACAAACAGAAACGTAAAATGTTCACTGATACTTGCCATCCACCGGGATTAAGCTCAAATAACTGTACCATAAAAATGGAGAAACATCTAAAGGACAGGTTTGCCAACTTTGTGGAATCTTTCCCAAAAGAATTGAGGCTCTTATTTTTCTTTTTTTGCAAAAGTATTAAGTGAATGCTTCACATATTTATTGAAATGGGATATTTTAGTCTTTTATTTTTAACAGTTGTACAAACCACTCAAAAAGCCTGTATTT